GTATTTGTGAACCGATTTTCATGATTCTTTTTTTGTTGGAAAGGGGGTACTACCATAGTGGTCCCATTTCATTTTGAAGAAAATCATCCACCTCGAAGGGTGGCTGTTCACGCATGAAGATTCATTTTCATAAATAGCCTAACCTAACATTAATTTAGGAGCAATTACTTTAATGGTTTATTTTGCTATTTCTCCAATTCAAGGCGTTTTTCGCTCAATATGCTTTGAGTAGTGAGAACCGATTTTTATTATCTCCAAGACTTGACGTCCTGTATAGTGGCGAACTAGGGGATATTTCAATAAAACTTAGCAAATAGACGTAATTCCACGTACTTTTGAGGTCGGTTTTTTTAGTACTCTGTACTGAGATTATGTATAAACAAAACTAAAGGTGTTGTAAACCAAATAAAATATTACTAGATTTATAAAAAAAAATCATCGTAATGAATAGAGAAGCCTACGGGTAACAAACCGAAACTTTAAAAAAATGAATGAATGTATTTTTCATCACTGAGCACAGGTCTACTGGCTTCTGTCTAAAACCACCTGGCCCATTGTTTGCAAACAAGCGTCCACAAAGTGATATTAACAAGAATCTGGAACTTTACCCACCTTGGAAATGCCTTCTTTAAATTCTAAATATATTGGTTTTTATTTGATAGGTAAACCACTTACATTAATATTACACTACGGCTCAGTCGTGAGGCAAATTTCGCCGAAAAGAGTCAGAAATTAGGAGTTGCTCTGTATAGCTCTGTATAGATTTATCATATTTATTACATTTATTTTAAAACATCATTGATAGAAATAGCCTGAAGGAGATAAAGGGGTCACTTACATGGAATTCGGTCATCCGGTAGGTACACAGAATTGTGAAAAGTGCATAATGTTTTTGTTTCACTATACCTCTAGTTTCAAACCCCGTAAATGACAAATTTTTAATATCAACTGGAATTACAAGACGACTGCCAAAAAATTACAGTTTATTTTTATTACGTCTATCACTATTTTTATTGAAAAAAAACTAATATTAGTATCGAGTTCTTAGGTTTTCGCGATTGTTACACATAGGAAATGAAACAATTTTCTGGATTTAAATCGTGTACCTCGTTTATTTATGTTATGTTATGTCCGATAAGGGAAATTACAGGCCCATGTCTCTTGCTACTGTTACAGCGAAGGTGCTTGACAGACTGCTTCACGCGGAATTAAATAGATATCTTGTTTTGCATGATAATCAGTTTGGTTTTAGGCCTGGGTTATCCACGGAAAGTGCCATTCTAAGTCTCATGCATTCTGTCAGGTACTATACAGACCGAAAAACCGGTCTTTGCTTGCTTCCTCGACCTGTCAAGGGCGTTTGATATGGTTTCATGCGATATATTATGGAAGAAACTGGAGGGTATAAACTTGCCTAATGAGCTTATTAACATCTTCAGGTATTGGTATGGAAATCAAATCTATAATGTCCGATGGTCAGGAGTAATATCGGAACCATACAGGTTGCAATGTGGGGTGAGACAGGGAGGGCTAACATCTCCCTCTTTATTTAACTTGTATATGAACGAGTTGATAGTCGAGTTCAGCGGTAGACATGTGGGTTGCCATATCGACGGGATAGCTGTTAACAACCTTAGCTACGCAGACGACATGGTGCTGCTGAGCGCGTCTGCGGCCTCAGATCACTACTTAGTATTTGTCAATCGTATGCGGATAAGCGTGGACTAATATATAACACCAAAAAGAGTCAGTACATGGTATTTGGGGTCAGCCATAAAAGCTTATTGGACGTTCCAATGTCAAATATATTACATTAAACGGTGATCGTCTTGATAGAGTCGAGCAGTTTAAAGATCTCGGTCTCCTAGTCACTAGCGATCTCAGAGACAATGCTGACATAGAGAGGGAGCGGAGGGCTTTATCGGTCAGAGCTAACATGATCGCCCGCAGGTTTGCTCGTAGTTCTCCTGCAGTTAAACTTACACTTTTCAGGGCTTTCTGTTCATCTTTCTACATGTGTAGCCTGTGGGAGAAGTACTCTCAAAAGTTGTATGGGGCCCTCCGGGTCCAATACAATACTGCGTTTAGGGTGTTGATGGGGCTGCCCCGGTACTGTAGTGTCTCGCGCATGTTCGCAGCGGCGCAAGTCGATTGTTCTACACGATCATGCGCAAACGTGCATCGGCACTAGTGAGCAGGGTACGGGCCAGCTCCAACATCATCCTACGCATGATAGCGGACAGGTTCGACTGTCCGTATATAAACCGCGCTTGTCACTTGCATGTCGTTACTAACATCTAGATCATAAGTAATTTTGTTACTAACCATCTGTAGATTTTAGTCATTTCAATTTTTAATTTTCAATGTTTTTCGTTTTAATTATCTAAATGAAATATACAATATAAGTAATGTGATAATAATATAATATAATTTGAAATGTGAATTATGAATTGCAATTATCTTTAAAAAAAAAAATTTTACTTTTTTTTTTGGTATTATGAAATTTACCATGATCTTTTCGGTAAAGAAAACCCGCACTTCGAAATAGGTTCACAACCAAACGTGTGAAGTCCAGTAGACTATAGGAGACCCATTCCCAGCAGTGGTACGTATAAATGGGTTTATAATGATGATGATGACGATGATGAAATGTATTGTGTCGTAAGTATATTAAGTATGATATCGCTCTGAAGCTTAGTTTGTAAATTGTTAATACTCAAGTTTCAGTACGTTTTTTCTTACAATGCAAGTGATAAATAGAAAACTATTAATAATAAACATATTATGGTTATAGAAAACGAAAAAAAAACGAATAAAGTTGCACAAACTTCAATTGAAACTATCATAACCTATTTTAAGTACAAAATTGCAGGTTCAAAAATTCTTATCACATGCCTCTTGATGAGAATTGATTCCAGAACGGTCTTTTTTTCCAATTGCTTTAAAAAAACTTTACAGTTGTAACTTGTAACGCTTACAAATCCTGTGAAGTTCGCAATTTCCTATACCCTCCATCCTACCCTTCGAAGAGACCCATCCTCAACGGCGGGGTGTATATAGGTTAATTATGTAAGTCCTAGGAAAAAAAACTACGTAACTAGATACCTTACAACGTAACGAACGCGGAACTATCGGTTTTCGTAAGTAAGTCGAACCATTAGCAACATCGAGACTAGCAATTACAAGATGCCTTCTGTGGCTGCCATTGGTTCTACAGCACACGTAATGGGATTCCTGAGAACTGACTTGCTAGTTGAGTTATATAAGCGTTTTGAAGACCTGTTCACGCAGGAATGTCAGGATTCATTGCTGTTTGTCATTAATAAAATCTCAACGAAAGAGGCTTAAACATTTTACGAAAGAAAGAGGTGGTAACTTTCTATTTATCACACTTGCTCGTAAATAGTAGGATTGCATAGTGGCTAACTTGACTGTAATGCCCTAAATAAAACCCTCGGGTCTTTTTTCTTCCCATTACAAAAACAGTCGGTAGCGAGCTTTTTTAATTTGTAACAAACATTATTAAAACATTCGCTTGAAATGTTATCTAAATTGAAATTCAATTGCAGTTCAGCCTCATACTAAATAATACTTATTATTCAGAATTTCTTTTAATTGTTTTTAATTATTTTCTGTTTAAGAATTGTGCATTTTTTTTTTACAATCCGTCATGGTTTTATGCGTCTTTACTTTTTACAACATTTTAGTATTATCTATGGAAGAATACAGCTGACCAACTGTTGAGAAAAAAAAACAATAGTCCCGCTATTTATAAAATCCATAATTTTTGTGTAGTGAACCATATTTATTCATAGGAAATGAAACTATTTTTCCGGATTTAAATCGCGTATATTTGTTTTTTCAAACAAACCGACGTTTCGGGCCCTTTACGGTATATTAAGTTAATTGGAATGTTTTCTTTGTAAAATTAAAAATAAGGTATTTAATTAATAACTATTGTAACTATAGTGAAAAAATAGAGTGGTTTACATCAATATTAGACATAACTGGTTGAAGACTGTACCACCTCAGTCAACCGTGACCATGGGACCTGTAAAAATACGCGATTTAAATCCGGAAAAATAGTTTCATTTCCTATGTGTAACAATCGCTAAAACCTAAGAACTCGATACATATTTATTCATACAGGAAATAAACATTGTATTTATTTTCTCGCAAATGTGATCAAAAACATTGTAGTATGGATGGTAAAAAAATACAAAACTCCAGGTATTAAAAAGCCCGAAGCCGAAGGCTGATTGAGGGTCCAATAGACTCTCGTTAATAATTCCTTATTTGCCGTCCTTGATACACAATGTTCTATTATGTTTGAATAGTAGAGGTAAAAAGAATCGCATACATTGACAAGAGTTTGCAATGTACTCTTTATTGTATTCATCATAAAAATAACTAATTGACAGTAACTTAGTGTAGACGTGTACACATTGACTATGCACTTGAGTTGTTTTTAAATATTCTTTCTGTTTGTAACTTGAGACTAACAAAATTTAAAAGCGACGTATATTAACTGCTACTAATTGAAATGAAATTTTCTTTAACCTCTTAAAGATCCCTTAATCCCTCCTATAAACATTTCATACCATCACTACTAATAGCACCGCATAGTCGCTAGCGCCGCAATTTTTAATATAGTTAAATTGGTAATTGCCTTTTTGTACTTGGAATTTTACTAAGTTGTAAAGAAAATCTAGTATTATGGTACAATCAGAACTTTACCTATATCACACGTGCTTATAGTATTGAGGTCGCAAATCTATATACTTTTGAATGCATTGTAACTATCATAAAATACGGACAACGGCACATCAGACTACACATTTTTGTTCGAACATCGCCTCCAGTGCAACAGAACAAGATACGTCAATGTGTAGCTCGATGTTCTGGTGTGTGTACCTTAGCAAGCTACAAATGAAATGACCTAAATTAATATAAAAAATATAATTTATTTTAAAACAAAATATTACAAATTACTATTTGTTACGTTTTTACATAGCGCTCACACAAAGCGCGCTGGACTATCACGCACAAAAACCTTTCATATTACAATATTACACTAACAACTATACTAGCGTTACATTAAGGTACTGATTAATATGTACACTTGCGGCCGGCCGCCACTGTCCATCGAACTAGATACTATACAACACTCGACAATCGACCATTTCTTGTACATCGGTTATGGCCTTCTCGGACTGAAATTGCGGTCGATAATGGATTACCCAGCTCAATTCACTACACTAAAATTGGATGCCGTGCCCTCTAAGGAAGGAGTCGATCTGTCCCGTGGCTGCCGACTCGCCTCGGGGAGCGACGAAGTAGTACTGTGGGGACGGTCTCTGCTCCTGCTGCGATAAAGCTAGCCTCTGGGCTTGGGCGCGCGCTGCAGCTCTATCTCTCTGCAACTGGCTTTGCTGAATCTGCTGTTGCTGTGCGAATAACTGCGCTGAGTTCTGGAACTGATTCTCTGCCTGTTGTCTCTGGTAGACTTCCTGGGGATTCACGTGCTGAATCTGGTGTCTGAACAACGGAACGTTAGGTGCTTGAGAAGCAGGAGGTGAGGGAATCTGGGGCGAGGGGATGAAAGGCCTTTGATATTGAGGTCGTGGCTGAGCAACGTACGGTTGGAGCCTCTGGTTCAAGTTCAATTCTCCTTTAGTCTGAGGTAGGGTCTGGAAGAGTTGAGTATTGTATGAACCACTTGCAGGGTCGTACACAAGTTCGGTTGCGTAGAGAGGGTTTCCGCTAGGCGCTGGTGACGCAAGTGTCGTCTTCGTTGGAGTTATCGAATTGGCTGTCGTTGAGGATTCGCGAAGTTGGTTCTCACGGTGGAACTTATCGAATTCAGCTGCAAAGTCGATTTGTGAAGGTCTGGGAGTGGTGACAATAGGGGTGGGAGATGGGGAGAATGAAGTCTCAGGAGTGTATTGAATCTGTGGCTTGGCCGTCACTTGAAGAAGCTGTGGTCTAAAAGTGGTAGCTGGTGGAAGTGCTCGGGCTGTTGTGGAGGGGAGAGGGCGTGGTGTGATAGCGATGTGCTGTGCCTGGATCGTGGGGCGCCTGATGGTCGGGCGTTGAACGACTCTCTGTCTGATATGCTGGAGAGGTTCCGCTTCCGCTTCGTCTTCATCAGCATCTCTAAAATCGTTTTGGAAGTAGGTGGTTGCTGGACGAGGTGTAGTAGGCCTGTGAGCGGGTCTGGTAGGATAGTTGGGAACTCCGTCGTCTCTTTCTCCGGAATCTTGTGATTGTGGTTCGGGTTCGTCTTCATCAGGTTTGTTAGGATCACAGGGGTTTCCGGAGACATAGGTGAACTCTCTCTTATTGCCATCAGGATCGATGTAGCCGTACTTGCCGCGGACGACACAATCTGTACCTCGGGTTTCTTCCTTAAAAGAGCCATCGGCCGCCTCATAACCGAATGTGAAACTGCCGTCGTCGTTCACCTGGAATTTGAAAGAATACTTTAGGAACATACTCTAAACATATAACCTAAAATAAATGATACAAAACAGCGAAGTCTGGTTCAATGAGCCCAAACAAGACAATTCTACTGTAAGTAGAAGAGGAGTTGGACAGTCTGCAGACTGTCTTGATTGCAGCATCACATCAAGGTTATAATAATATTGTATTCTCATTGAATTTTTACAGTATGTGACTCAAATCCTTGAATCGTTGAGCAAATGTTCATCAAAAATATTTAAAAACCATCTCGATCTATCCATTTAGGAGCTGCAATGTCTCTGATAGACACTCAGGTACAGAGAAAGGTTAAAAATAAGGTCCACCTCAAGTTATTGATAAAATGTAGTAATGTGTTTCTTAAACGGTAATTATTAGCGAGCTTAAATACTTTTTATGCAAAGAAAACACACTTGTGAACCAAATAGAGATAAAAATAAGAAATAAAAGAGAAGAATATTACTAAAAATCTTTTCTTTTTGACCTCGGTCAACAGTCGTTAAGCACAGTCACCCTTCAGTAGCCTTCAAATAGATAATCCAGGACTGTGTCCAGTTCACAGACGAAACTTTATTTTTTAGTAATAATAAACGAGTACGGTGTAGAAAGGGATGTTAATATTTTACGGAACCGTGCATCCATGATTGTTTTATATCTAGAATGATGATTTGGGATAGTAAGTTTTATATGCAAAATGGAGCTGAAAATTCTGGAGCAGGGTACCGTTAGCTTGCTTCTTAGTCTACTCTAACGCTGAAAATCAGTGCTGGGTAAATTTTGCACGGAACCACGACCTATTTGACTTACTGCAGCACACACAAGCTGTTGATCAGTAGATTAGTATTGTTTTTTTAAAATAAATTTTTTGCTGTTTGTTTTTATTTTATTTTCTTTAATTTTTGATTTCTATGTTTCCCTTTTAATCCATTTACTGTATTCTACTGTTGTGTGTGTGATGCAAAACAATAAACGTTTTATATATCTTACCTATATATTTACTCAATGAGAGGAAAAACAAAGACGGGAAACAGAACCGATGCAAGAAGATTCGCTTCTTTGGTTCGTGTCTATCAGCTCACCTTGTTGTAATTTCTAATAGTCTGCACTGGCGGCTGCTTATTTTCCTCTCTCACATGTGCCTGCCTCAAGCGCGGCGCGGGCGCAGCTGTCGGCCGGGCCAGTGCCCGTCTCTCGTATTCATCCTGCCTGTCCTGCGCGCGGTACAATGCGTTGTATGCGTCAGCAGAGACTAACACCACCTGAAAATAAAAATAAAAATGTAAGTAATGAAAACCCTGTTAAATGCAGTACAGACTTTCATCATCATCATCATATCAGCCGGAAGACGTCCACTGCCGAACATAGGCCTGCCTCAAAGATTATCAAACTAGCCGATCGAACGCAACGTGCATCCATCTGTTACCCGCCGCCCTTACCGGGTCATCAGTCGATCTAGTTGGGGGCCGTCCCACTGAACGCCTTCCAGTTCGTGGTTTCTGTTCGAGAATCTTTCTGCCCTAACGGCCGTCAGTTCTACGAGCTATGTACCCTGCCCACTGCCACTTCAACTTGTTAATCCTTTGGGCTATGTCGGTGACTTTCGTTCTTCTATCGATCTCCTCACTTCTGATTCGATCACGTAGTGAAATACCGAGCATTGCTCGCTCCATGGCTCCTTGAGTGACTTTGGGCTTTTTTATGAGGCCCTCAGTAAGTGATCACGTCTCAGAGCCGTAGGTCATCGCTGGCAACACGCACTCCTCGAAGACTTTTGTCTTCAAGGACTGCGGTATTGCGGACGAGAAGACGTCCCGGAACTTCCCGAAATCTGCCCAACCGAGTCGGATTCGACAATTGAATACTTCCTCGAAGTACACACTTTACAGTAATAATAACAATTTATTTCCAGTCATAATGGTATTGATCTTATAATTGGTCCACACAAAGGCTGAAATGACAACGTGTTTGACCATTGTGAGAGAGCGGAACATGTACTAGGATACCCTTCAAATTTAAATGGGACCAATACTGAGAAATCGTCTTTCCTACAAAAAAAGAATCATCAAAATCGGTTCACAAATTTCCGTGTCCAGAACTATAATTAATTTTTTTTAGTTCAATAGCGTTTACCACAGACAGTAGAATTTTGGTTCAGAACTAAAAAGAGCGTATTTGTGATATGGTTTATGAAGTTAAAATTGAGATTCAGTACAGGAATAGAAAAAATGTTTACAAGTACAGAACAAACATCAACTTACTTGTTCTCCGGCTCCCTGATCCTGCGTCTGTGGCTCGTACTCATACGCGTCTTCAACAGGCTGCAGCCGCTGACGTGGTCGTGCGCCCACGCACAGGCTTACTGCTACCAGCAGGCATAGGAACTGAAATATTAGAAAGGCGGAGCTTTAAATAAAAATTAGATCAACACAAATACAATATCATAGAACAGCTCATACGGAAAAATAAAATGGAAGACAGGAGGCTGTCCAGGATAATGGCAGCATTTCTATTTATTTATTTATTAAACAAAACATTCATCCACATCATTAATGAAAAGATTGAACAAGTAAGGCCCTAAATGAGATCCCTGTGGAATGCCAGATGTTCGGTCTAGAACTTAGTCCATTCAATACAACTCTTAAGTCACGTTGCGACAGATATGACCGAAACCAACCCAGAAGAGGATCCGAAACCCCGTAAATTTGCAATTTATGTATTAAGGTGCTGTGGTTTACTGTGTCAAACGCCTAACAAACGCCTAAAAGTCGGTGTAAACCGCATCAACGTGTGTGCACGAAGATTTGTGGCGGCTGATCTTCCCTTGACGAACTCATGTTGATTGACCGATAATAATTGTTTTAAGTGCCACCACATTATAGGACAGATCAGAGCCTCTAATACTTTGGGGAACACTGACAGGATGGCAATCGGTCTATAGTTGGTAATATTTGTTTTATCACCAGCTTTGTAAACAGGAACTATTTTAGTCTTCTTCCAAACAGTTGGGAAAACACCATCGTGATCTATTATACAACAACATCAAGGGCAGGGCTAGTCTATCGGCAGTCCTAGACAGAAAAAGGGGCGGTATGCCATCTGGACCGGCTCCCTTATTTATATCCAAACGGTTTAAAGTTTTTTTGATTTGGCTTTCAGTTACGGTAACCTTGCATAATATGTTATTATTTATACAATTGGGAGTTTCAGTATAACTAGCATGAATAGCATCTGTGGAGTCGACGTACATCTTGGAAAAATGCGGCGCAAAGCAATCACATATTTCTTCAACGTTATCCGAACTATCCACTCCATTTGTCATAAAATTAGGATAATTACTGATTGTACCCTTTTTATGCTTTAGGTAACTCCAAAATCATTTTGAATTATGTGTTATTCTATCTTCCAAACTCGCAGTACAAGAGCTGTAACAGGCTACAGTCATGTAATAACATCGTTTTTTAAACAAAGTAAATTCAATTGCATCTAACGGATTGTTACTATTTTTTCAATTTTATTCTCAATCTATTTTTTCATTAAATCGTCTGATACGTTGTTTTGAAAACCAAAAGGGATATTTTTTATTTTTGATAGTATGACGTGGAACTTGTTTTTGTATAAGCTCGCGAATAATAGTGTAAAACCAATCGACCGCGCCATCAATTGTTGTGCACTTGTTTAATTCTTCATGCCAGGCTACTCTATTCAATGCGTCAGCAATAGAATCATAATAACTGCCTCCGTGGCCGAACCGTTACCATGCCGGACAGCCACGCAGAGGTCCCAGGTTCGATTCCCGGGCCGAGAGAAATAGTTGTATGGCCTACAATTATTTCTCTCGTGAGTTTGGGTGTAATTTGTGGTTGTCTATATGTGTGTCCATGGCACCCGCGACACAGAGTTTCCCTAGTGCGGGGCTATGTTGAGTGTGCGCGTTATTTATTAAAAAAAAAAGACCTTTAAAATAATTCAGTCTCGAGTGGGTATGCAATTTTTGTGCTACAGTTTCGTTAGGTAAAGTAAGCTGTGCCTGTATTGGTGGATGGTGGGGATCAATTTTGGATAATACGTGCAAAGACTCTTGCAAGGTGAGAGATTCTATGTTAGATATGACTAGATCAAGAGTTCTATTGTTTTGGTTAAGCAAATAGTTAAACTGCCTAAGGTTATTTAAAGCTAAATAGTCCCACAGCGAATGCTCCAAGCGAGAACCCACAGAACGATGCGAGTCAATCAAGGTTCCATCGTCATTCAACCATTTGATCGTGCTCAGATTAAAATCGCCCATGATTATACACTTTGGATCCTGCTCCAATATTTTGTTGGCGTTATCCATAAAGTGATCTAAAACGTTAAGCTTTATAGGCGGTGGTAAGTATACTACACACAAACAAATCTCCCGAGGAACTACGCCAATAGGAAACAATAACTTGACCCAAAGATCATCACAAGAGCTTTCATAGTCAAAAAGCCTATAGTACTTTTTTTTTGAAACTGCGAATAAAACACCGCCACCACCTTACTGTTAAATATGTTATTCGTTCTATCTCGCCTAAAGATTGTATATCGCTCATCCATGATCTCCGAGTCATATATGCCACACACAAGCCAAGTTTCCGCGAACACAATTACATCATAATTACAACAAGCAATCTTACAGTAAACATCTGTCAATTTGGATCTGATACCTCTTACATTTTGGTAATATATGTTAATATTAGACATTTTTTGAACAATGAGTCCCAAAAAGTAAAACAAGAAAGAAAAAGAAAACAAAATTAAATTAGAAAATCATTCGACCACAGCTACACAATCTTTTCCAGCGTTTCTGTATCCTTAACATATATATAGTCAGAACCATCAGTTTTCCTCATATATAACCTTCCATTTCTGACCTATACATACTGATAGCCCAGTTCCTTAGCTTTTATTCTTGGTGCAGCATGTAAACTCTTGTTCTCAGATGAGAGATGTTCCACGGCATATAATTCTCCTTTTAGCCCCCAATCCCTAAAAGGCTGCTGTTCAACCTTTCCTCCGGCTTTCTATTTTTATTGACCTTTATAGACGCGGCTAGAAAACTGTCGCGTACTCTTGGACTGCAAAACTGCATAATAATGGACTTAGGGCGGAGACTTGTAGAGTTGTGTTTGGCAATCCGAGTTACATGGTGAATATTGTTTTCCGCAATTGTGCATAAGATCCCTCTCGCAACGTTCATCACAGTGGATACAACGTTTTCCCCCTTGTGTTCAGGCAAGCACTGAATTTCAACGTTAGACGAGCGGGCCTGTTGCTCCAATTCTTATATTTATTTCCTTCAAAGAGGCCGTCATTGCTCGTCCTCGTAATTCCATGCTAAACTGCTAGATCTGAGTTTGCCAGTAACATTCTTGCAAAAAATTAAGGTTCAAACCAGGGTTGTTGCATATGTAAAATACCTGTATCGGCAACAACCCTGATTCAAATATGCTTTAAGATATCTTCCAGAGATGACAAAAATCGTACTTCAAATTTTTTTTTCACACCTTCACCACACAGGGAAACCCTATATCGCGGGTGCCATGGACACACACATAGACAACCACAAATTGCACCCAAACTCACGAGATATATAAATGTACGCTATACAAATAGTTCTCCCGGCCCGGGACTCGAACTCCGGACCTTTACGTGGCAGACCAGCATGGTAACCGTTCAGCCACGGAGGCAGTTATTAATAAAAACTTATTGGCCATACAAATAAATATGTAGGTAACACTCGTGAGAAATTTAATGTCATCATCAAACCATTACATTCATACTGCTGGCCACGGATCTTCTCTAGAGAGAGTCTAGATCATAGTACACCAGGTTGAGGAAATCACATTTCTGCAATGGGTTATGGACCTTCTTGGACGTGCAACTTTCATCACAATACTTTTCTAGACCTCAAGGGGCATCGCTACTAAACATTGAGAGACGTTAGAGAAGTAATCGCACTGGGTTACCACGGCTCGTTTTCACTATTAGGCTTTATAAAAATTGTCAGCAAAACTTGAAATATTCCGTGTAATAATGGAGCTAGGATCTTGCAGTTATTAAGACGTAAACAAATATTATTGCGCTCAATAATTACTAAACAAAGTCGTAAAAAAGGTAAATTACTATTTTCCAATGTTACTGACCTGTATTCTTTGCTTGCGAGTGTAGTTACTGTTACGTGTACCTTTTAAAGTACCTTCGATCAATTTTTATGTCCAAAACGAAAACTAATTTTCCTTGAACTTCTCGAAAGTAATTACATATAATTAAGCTGCGCGTGACGTGGTTCTTGAACTTTTCACAACTTAACATTGAAACAATACATACGGTTAGAAGATCAGCCTTGTGGTTGACAATTTGACATGTTATTACCTACATAATTTGCAAAATCACCTTTATCTAATGTTATATCGAAGATACAAAAATCAAGAGTTCTACAAAGGGGAATACTGATGCCTAGTAATTTTTAATTCAGACGTCTAAGGGAAACTACTGATGCCAAATAATTTTTAAAACAGGCGTCCTTCAAAGGAAACTGCTGATGCTAAATGCTTTTGAATCAGGCGTCTTACAAGGGAAACTATTTGTGCCAAATATTTTTAAATCTGGCGTCCTACAAGGCAAACTACTCATGCCAAAGAATTTTTAAATCTGGCGTCCTACAAAGGACAGTACTGATGCCGAACACTTTTTCCGTATAATGCGTTTACGTTAAAACCTACGTATAACTTCGGTTTTACAGGGAACAGTACAAGATCGGTAGTATAGTTAAATAAGGCACCACATCCTTAAACTACAATGAAGCTTAAAACCAGTTACAAATCCCTAATTATTAAATGCCAAAGACAAGCATATAATTAGACTCTAGCGGCGAACAAATGTCAAACATAGTTCATTCCATCGTCGTGTTGAACTGTACATTTGTATGTATATATACAAGGTCGGGAGGTCACGGGGCGTCGTAGGGCGTTCACCTCACACATTATGTAATATTTTTTTTGTACTTATTCTATAAACAAAGTGAGAAAAGTTTTTAGGTTCACGCTACAGTTTGTACATTACAAATGAATCTAATTACAAGTCCCATGATTCCACCGTGGCCATGGAACCTGTCATCACTCTCTGTCTGTTCCACTGCTGGGCATGGATCTCCTCTCAGACGAAGCTTTATAGGTTAATGCAGGTTTCATCACAATATTTTCCTTCACCGAAAGGCTCGTGATAAATTTCAAATTAATAAAAATTCCGAAAATGTATGAGATGCGAACCCGGATTCAAACCCACTGGCTCTGAATGCGAGGCAATAGGTGAAACCACGCTACTACGTCTTTTTATGGGACCTGTAATGGGCTCCTAACAT